TTAAGCATTGCTACTCTAAGATTGAAAAACAAAAGTTTGTGTGAGAGTGGTGGTTGAAACCTTTCAAACGCAGGAGCTCCCTAGGGCTGTTGCTGCTGCTGTGTTACTTAAAGGGAGCGCAGCTAACCTGAAAGGAGCTTGGATAGCTCAGTTGGTAAAGCATGGGACTCAGAGTCCCTGGGCCATAGGTTCGAGACTCACAGTGAAACAGCGGGCTACAGTCCTGAAGCTGAACTCTCGTTTTTTCCCCACGCAGACCCTCTGCAAAATTGTCTGACTGTTCTCATCTGTTTCTGCCACGAAAACTACTTGAAACTGACGGAACTATTAATAGCAACAGTTTGTTAAGTTTTTTTGTTAACAGTGCAAACGACTGAAAGAAGCATATGGACAGAAGCTGAGAGCTGACTGCATTCCAAACATCGGAGATACCAACATCCAGAGAGCATGGAGACAGCACCGGCATGGAGAGCCAGCACAGAGCAGGACACCTACACAGAACTGTGTTGGGAGCAGAGTGAGGGCAGGGTTCTTGTTGATGCAGCTGCATGGCGGTTGCAGAGCTGGGGCACTGCGGGTTCCGAGCCAGAGTGGGGTAGGCCGCCCCCTGAGAGGATTGGGCCCCGCCGCCCGCGGGGAGGAGAGTCCCGGAGGACCCAGACCTGCAGGGCTTGGCACTTGTAGTGTTACCTGCACAGCTTTCCTGGCAGTGTGACAAAGCTGATGAAACTGCAGCTGATTAGAAAAAAAAAAAAAAAAAAAAAAAAGAGGAAGAGTTTTGAGCTTTGAATGTCCATAACTGGTAGTGCTGTTCACTGTTTGTCACAGTTGACAGAGAAGTGGAACTTACTGAGGAATAGTTAAAAGTTTAGGAGATCTGTAATTGATCCTGGTTACTCGGTTACTGTGATTTTGTACTTGCAGATTACACTTTCCTTCTTTTCTTTTCCCCCTTCCTGGCATTAGGTTAAGGTACATTTCAGTTGGGAATTTAAAATGTACACACATGATTTTCTTGTCTTCTTTCAGTTCACCTGACAATATTTCTGTTACGTTGCATAGCTTTTGGTATTCTCAAACAGGGCTAACTCACTCATAGAACAAATTATTGTCAAGAGAGAATTTTACACACCAAACATATTTTCAAAACAAAAAGAGGGGAGGAGAATATGCATGTACATAAACAGGTCCTGGATCAGAAATGGATCTCATTTAGGTTTGTTAAGTTTTTTTGTTCCTTGTATTGATTCCTCTTCAGGACAGGTGGAGTTGGTGAACATCACCACCACAGATGGTAGACTGAGAAGTACACAGCCAGTAATACTTGGGATCTGAAATATGTGATTGAAATGAAAAATATAATAAAAATCCCAGCTATGTGTGAGTGAGGAGTGATTGAGGTGGCCACCCTTCTGAATGATTGGAAAAAAAGACTGTATGAGTGAAAAAAGCTGCGTAGATATCTATGTGTGTGAACTTAAATACTTTATGAGTGTTAAGATTTTAAGAGAATGTGTTATATAAACCTAATTATGGTAAGTTGATGCTGCTAACCTTCGAAGATTGGAAGTAGATATTGAAGATATTGCGAGTTAATGCTGGCCAGAATTGACTAAATGGTCTGTTGGTAAATGGAACTATCAGGATGGCTTTTACCTATAGTCAAGACAAGTTTCCTTGTGTTGCTTATGTTGTAGTTGTGCTACTGATGTTGCCATGTTTGGTGTCGTGTTTGCAAAGGGCCCTGCAAAGGACGACCCAGGCAATTTTTGTGGCACAAATACAAAAAAGGGGGAATTGTCGGAGGATGCAGCAAGGTCACAGTGCCTAGCACCATGGAAAAGAATGTAAATAAGAGGTGAACATCCAATCATATGTGAAGGCTAGTGGTAAATTATAGATAACAGAACTAGGAATAGGTTAGTATGTAAGATTCTACGGAAGACGGTGTGTGAGTGCAACTGTGTGAAGAACAAGATGTAATATTCTGGATGAAGAATAAAAGCTGAATTTAGGCCATCATCATAGAATGCCCAGTTTTATTTACTTGGTCGTCCTCACAAACAACAACACCCACCAGTCCCCGACCACCAAATGACCCCCCAACTCCCCAAACAAAATGACTTCCAGGCATCTCGACATGAGGCAACTATGGAAACTCCTGCTTGTAATAAAACCACCTTATTTATTTCCTACACTTTTATAGTTGCTTCAATCATGCTGTATTTCAAGTGGTGATTATTAATCTTTCTCTGTCCCCTTTCTTTTTCACCCTTTTTTTCTTCTCCTAATTACCTCTTCTCGAAAGCTGGGTAACAAAGTTGGATGAGTTAGAGTTTGCTAAGTCAATGCCTTGTGAAATGCTTTATTTTGATTGAATGTTTTCTTTAAAATTTGCCAAGTATCCTTCTGTGGTCATTTGTACAACCAGCGGAGAACTAGAACTCCAAATAAGTCACTCTGCTTTCGTTTTTCCTCCCTGATAAAGGGTGATCGAAATATAAAACAATAATACAAGATTATAGCCTTAGTTGCTTACTAGCTAATTTTTAGATAGAATTAGGATAGGGCCTTGCTTGCTTATGCTAACTCACACACAGAATATACTTAATTTTATAATGAAGACTTTAGCAGGAACAGAAAACCTTAGAGTTTAGATAAGGGGCTTTGAGGTTCATGAGAAAGAGACCTTGAAAGTTGATAAAGAGAAGTTCCTGGAGATGATACCAATTTTGAGTTAATTGGACAGTGTCAACTCAGCAGTTCTTAGCAAAAGTAAAAAGTTCAAGCTGAAGAAGACTTCTTACTTCATCCAAAAGACCCCAAAAGACCCCCCAAAAGAAAACCCCAAAGTGGAGTTATAGAAGTGGTGGAGTTATAGGAGTGGTGTATGTTAATGATTTCCCTTCCCACTTTTCTGGAATTTGCTGACGCAGCTAATGCATATGTAACACAACTAATGTATATGTAATAATAATGGCCAGTCTTCGCAAGCGAAGATCTGGGGAAGGTCTTTCCACCTTCCAGCCTGCGCATTGGATTTTTTAGGTGAGACACAGTGTGCGCGGAACTGAGCCCACCCTTTAATCCTAAGGTTCATCTGCCGGGGCCAAGCGAGCTTGGACGGTGGCAGCGAGGTCCTCAGGACGTAGATGGATTGCTTTTACAGGGCTAACGAGCTCCATCTGCCTGGGGAGTGTCCCTGACTGGGAATCGAACCCTGGCCTCGGCGGTGACAGTGCCGCGCCCTTAACCACTAGACCACCAGGGGCTCCCGTATATGTAATACAACTGATGCATATGTAACATTATACTGCATAAAAAGAGCTGAACAAAGGCAATGGGCGTGCATGACTGGAGGAATTATCCCCCATGCACCTGGCGCTGTGAATAAACATACCTGCTTCAATACTCTTTGCGAGTTTTGGAGTTTGTTTCCTCAAGTCATTCCCTTTCCCCCTCCAATAATGAAGGGGAAATACAGAGAAATATAAGTAAAAATAACAATTTCCTAAAGGAAATAGCTGTAACTAGAAAGATATGGAGGAAAACAGTTTAAACCAACAAAGGAAAAAGGTGTTACCTGGTCCCCCCTGCCTTTAGGGCAAAGACAAAATGGCTTCTGTCCCCCACCCTGGGCACCAAACAGTCTCCTCAGGGACAAAGATAAAATGGCGGAGGAGGTTCCCCCTTCCCCCCAGGCCATGCAGTCGGGAAAAACAAAAAACAGTGTAGTAAACAGTTTTCCGCAGGAGGACAGCAAACAGTAGCAGGTTGCAGGCTCTCTCTAGGTGGGGTGGGGCAGGTAGCAAGTGGTAAGAGTCACAGCAAAAAGAAACGGCAGCAGTCCGTGGCAGCAGCTAGCAAAAGAGGTTAGTGAAAAAACCCTGAAGCAGCTTGCAGTGGTGTAAGGGTAAATATTCACTTTGAGGAGATAGGTGTAGCTTAGGAAGCCTTTCCTGCCTGCAAAGTGCCTTCTTCAAGGGGGTTATATGTTTTTTATTTCCTTTCCCTTCTGCATTCCAGAGAAAGTGCAGACTCTCTCTTATGGTATGCTAGGAGAGAGATAAGGCTCACAGACATGCTACAGGGCTTCTGCAGCTGGCAAAAGAAGTGATGATAAAGCCCGAGAACAAATGGCAGGTTTTACTCTTTTCTCAGGCCCAGTGCTTTCGCAGCTGGTGCAGGTTTTTCTTTGTAATTTTTTAGCATTCTCGCCTTCAAAAAACCTTTTTCTTGGATTCTTTCCACTGTCTTGGCATTTCTGGAGGTATCTGCATGTATCTTACTTCACAAGCAGGGTGGTCCCTCCTCTCTCAGTAGGCTCTCTCTCTCCATGGGCAGAAGTGGTGGCTACAATAGCAGAAGTAGCAGCTGCAGCAACGGTAGCGATGCCGGCACCAGGTCTCCTGGCAGTACCAGAAATGGCAACAGTGGGGCAGCCCCTCCTCCTTTTGATGGCGGTGAGATTCATGGAGCATCTCCGACCTATAGCGGGGTGGCTGCAACCTGTAGCCCATATTGCAAAGCAGTGGTATGTTTGTTTTCGGGATTGGGGTAGCCTCCTTTTGGCTGGGACTCATGGAGTGACCCTGACCTGGGGAGAAGAGGCTATCTCTCTCCCACTAGGGAAACAACAATGGCACCCCTTCTGCTTCTGCCCTGTGGCTCTTAAAGGGGCCTGTCCATTCCCTTCTGCAACTCAGGCAAGGAAAGACAGTTTTTTCTTTTTCTTTTATAGAGATAACTTGGTCTCTATTGTGCTTTACAGAAATAGGATTTCAGGAGACATTTTAATAAGAGGGATTTTACCCACATAAGTAAAAATTAACTGTATTCCATGCTTTTGGTAGGAAAAATTGAAAGGACAAAATCTGATTAAAAGACTTGAGTACCTAAATGTGTTTTTTTTTCCAGAATGGTGTTTGAATACTGAGTGTAATAAAGTGATCATATAGATATATCTTTGCGGCGGACAAAAAAGACACTCACTCCGTCGGTTGGAAGGCAATAGGCACTTTATTAACATCAGATTTAGTTTTATAGTCTTTTCTTCTGTCCACGCATATACATGCTATAATTCATTGGTTAAGTATTGTTGTTCATGCACCGCAGTTCATATTTTGATAGGTGGTCGGTGTCCTTTTGCGTGCTGGTAAATCTCAAAACAAAACCTGTTATTTACTGCAGTTCTTCCTCCTTTTCTGCTCTCCCACCTTCCTGGTGTTTACATTCTTTTACAAGCTCACAGCTGTAACTGATCAAATTCAAGGCCTAAGCTGTCTACAGCCCAGCCTTTTCCCACATATCTAACTAATAATCTACCAGGAAACTCATTTGGCTGTCTCACTTGACTTGTGAATTAGACATTTCTGCCAATGTGTTGTTATGTAATATCAGGGAAGAGTATTATTTTTCTCAATCTGGAACTGCTGTTATTCAGTTCACATTGCCTCCTCGAAGAATAGTTCTTTTGTGGGGCCCTTTCAGAAGGGTAATATGTGTAAAATGGTTTGACATTCTTTTGATCTGAATAACATGTCAAATGAGAATTTTCTACCAAAATATAAGAAGGATAGCCTATGACTAATATAACAACTCAGAAATTCCAGTGCCAGTTTTCAGCTTTTCCAGAAAAAAATCATCCCTTGGCATGGTCTCATGTCAGTCACTCAGCACCAGCCCATCTTGATTTCCTGATTATAGATGGGGGGATACAGTAATCTCAGGTTAGGAACACACACTCTCTGTGCCTCCTACAAGTACATCTTTTAGGTGCTAGCATACTACCTAGAACAGCAAGCAGAATTTGTATCACCATGGATGTTTGTGATCAAGTATTGAATCTACAGAAGTCTTCCGTTTGTGCCAAGACTTTTCACACTTTTCAACTGGAGCACTCTTTTTTTTTTCTTCTGTATTAACTTGAGTATTACTACATCTATAGCATCTTTGCATCTCATCTCAGGAATGATTTTGGGAATTTTCCTCAATGTTGTCTTTTGAAATTCTTCAAAAATTACAAATTTTTAATTAACATCCTACTGACTAACTGAGATGTGTGAGTTGTATCTTACAGGCTCAACATCATTAAGATAGATGCTGTTAATAAGTGGGTATCACTAAACTACCTTAATGATTAAGAGGGATGTGAGGTGGCATAGTCTTCCTTCTCAGTGGAAGCTGCTTCCATGAATATCAGAATTATACCTAATGATTTTCAGTATGAAAAGTTTATTTCTTATTCTTAATGACTGTAGAGATTTTTGTGCCTTGCACATTAGCAATGAAACCTTGATTCTGGGAGTTAAGGCTGAGTTAACAGACATGGTAGCTGGAGAGAAGGTCTGTGTAACAATATGCTGAGAAAATTTGGCTGGAAAAGACCGATTGGTCAGTAAACATGGAGTTGTACCATAAGTTTTATGTCTCTTCTCAGCATGTGGTCATACACTGGAGAAGACTTTGAGAAGGATAAACACAGTATGTAAGATAATTTGTATCCATCTTGGAGGCTGTCTTGTGCATAGATATAGCACCTAACTCCTATGGACATGATAAATAATAATAAAACAGAGATAATGGTGACATGTAACATCCAGTGGGAAAGAGCTAGGTAGAGGCCCTCTTAAAATGTGTGTGCTACTAGATTGTTACAAAGCAGAAGACATTTTGCTGAAAGAAAGATGTTAGATTTTAAAGCACTACAAATGATGCTCTGGGTATTCCTGCTTACCTTCCAGTGGTCTCTGGGTAGGATGCACCTTTACTGTCCTGCTACTCTGGTTTATCAGAAATCAAGATTTGATGTGCTAATCTTGATGGTAGTAGTAAGACCGTAATAGTGCACTATACTAGTAGTTATAACTACCTATATTGTCTAGTAAATAATTCTGATTAAAGTCTTGTAGTCTAATCATTATCATCATTCACTTAAAGAAATAATTTATTTTATTTATATAAATATACCTTGTTTGTGATCCTTAATTCTGCGGGACAGTCACATAAAGGCTCAATTACATCTGTATAATCCTTTACACATAAACTGTTGACTCAGTCTGGGACTAGGATTGGATCCAGCCACACCTGGACTCCTCTCTGAGAGGGAGTTTGGAAAGCAAAGGGGTCTCTAAGTATAGAAGAATCATTCTGGAAGATTTATTTTGAGGATGCAAGGGTTTATGTTGCTCAAGGAAGCTTTGCTGCCTGGGAAAGAGGCATCTTCCCAGGAATAGTCTTATGTGTTTTCTCCTCCTGCATTCCAGAGAGGCTGACTCCCTGGTACAAGAGAAAAGTTTCTCGCAGACATACTTGAAAGCCCCCACAGCAGGGGGGCAGGTGCATGATAAAATGACCCTGAGGAGAACAGCACGTGCTTTTTGATGCCTAGTGTTTGTACCATCATGTCAGTGTTCTTGGCTTTTGGAAATAAATTTTTCTAAATCCTTCCACTGCCTGGTATCTGGGGTACCTGTGCATAATCTATCCTCACAGGGTCCTTTCTGCACCTCATGACTCAATGGGAGGGCTTCTCTGATAAACTTTGAAACTCCCATTCTGCCAGTGTTGTAGCATTCGGGTTTCAGGAAGAATGCCAGAAGAGCATTCTGGGAAACAAAGTCTCCAGGACTCTGTTGCACATGTGCAGTGAAGCACCTTATCGGGACTGGTTAAGAAGGCCACATGCTGTGACGTGTAATGATTCAAACTGGCTATATAAGCTACTGTTCTTCCTTAATAAAGGATTCTGTTACACACCACATTGGTGTCAATGAGCCCATGCTGACTTATCATTTATTATATTAATAATACTACTACACTGTGTCATTAGGGACATGGTTTAGTGGTTGACTTGGCAGAGCTGGGTTAACAGCTCGAATTGATGATCTTAGTTTTTTTCCAACCTAAATGATTCTATGATTCTAACTTCCACCATGAGGTTATCAGGGGTTGTTCTAGAACCCTGTTTCTCCCCCACACTGGATCAAACTGGATAAGATCAAACTGGATAAGAGATACAGGGTTCATGAGGGTCAAGAAAGACTTTGAGACTCTCTTTCCCTACCTGCTGTCCTTGTAACTCCTTGCAACCTGCAACCCTGCAACCTGAAGGTCTGATAGTGTCTTTACAGTGTCAGGATGTTTTTATTATGGGTGTTGTGAAAGACTCAGGTGGCATAATCCATCACTAGTTAGGATCACATGCTTGTGACATTCTGTCAGTTTTCAGTTTGATGTACTATTTTAAAAAAATACTTTTGAGTGACACTGTCACATGAAAGGGGGGAGTTTAGGTTTTGCCTGTAGTTGTGTAGGGGTGGTACCCTTTTGGAAGAATTTGTGATGAGGAGGTAGAACTTGTTTTTTCTTAGGAAGCCTTTCCTGCCTAGGAAGTACCTTTCTCAAGAGTGGTTAGATGGGTTTTTTTTCCCTTTTCCTTCTGCATACCAGAGAGGACTGTGGGCTCTCTCTCTCTTTCTCTCTGGTATTTGAGGAGAGAGATAAACCCTCACAGTGTTACAGGCCCTGTTACAGGCTGGGGGAAGGGAGACCAGAGAAGATAAGAAGCCTGGAAGAGATCAGGAGGCATGACTTTCACAAGCCCAGTGTTTTCCACAGCTGATGCAGACATTCTTCCTTGTAGGTTTTTTAGGGTTCTTGCCTTCGCAATAAACCTTTTTGAATTCTTTTCACTGCCTTGGCATTTTTGTATGATACCTGCATATATCTTACTTTACATGGTGCCCCCAGGAAAGCTGAGACCCTTTTGTCTGACCAGTCCATTGGCGTCTCAAAATGAGATCCTTCACCAACAGATTCACAAGGTCAGAGGGTGATTCGACTGCCCTTGTCAGGGGGCGCTCAACCAACAGTGTGAAGACCCCTCAGCGGGCCCTGCCAAAGTGTTATCCGCTGCCAGCAACTGAAAGCACTCACTCTCTGATTATAAGGGATGTTAGTGGGTACTTGCACACTAACTGCTATGTCTACTTTTTGGTGAAAGGAAGTGCTTACCCAGTGACTAATATTAATTTCTCCCTGAATTGGAAATACAGAAATGGTTAATGGTTTCATTGTGTTTTCAGGTAAATGGGTGCACACCCAACAATCATTTTTATGCAACACTTGGGTCACATTTTGTATTAAAACTAGATGCAAATTTTGCTCCTAAGTCAAGACTGAATTAACTATTGTCAAGATAGCAAAACAAGACTTAAGTATTTTGTTTCTTTTCAGATCAATTACCAGAGGGGCTTCGGTCTTTTGAATTCTGGAATAACGTATCCATGATTTTACTTGTTATACTACTTCTGCAGTAAAGTGGGAACTTCTGTCTGATAACATTCCCAAAGGTGCCCTGAATCTAGGTATTATTTGGTTTGATAGTATTTTCATCGCTTCCCTAGCCTGGTTGGTGTGACAAGGAAAAGCCTCTGGCCACCCAGAGAAGGTATCCCCCAAGACTAGGAGATATTTATAGTTTCCTTTTCTGGGCAGTTTGGTGAAATCAATCTGTCAATATTCACTCAGAACCTTTCCAGATCGTATAGCTCCTATTACTACTCTATTGGCAGTGTTTGGATTACTTCTTTTACACACGTCAAATTGCTGACTGCACAATTTGTGTAATTTTTGGACCTATAACCAACTTAAGCAAATGTTTCAATAATTTTTTTGCACTCCAATGAGTAACCTCATGTTCCTGATCCAGTAGTTCACACAAGACTGGTTCGGGGGTTATTACTTGCCCAGTTGGGGTAACTGCACAGCCTTGTAGATCAAAAAAAGGAATGAAGAAGTTGAACCCATTGTTTGGGGGCCAGAGGAGGAAACAGCTTTTAGAGCTATAAAGGGTGCTTTGACCTCGGTCCCTGCCTTAGGACTACCTGACTACACAAACTTTTGATTTGTATATACATGAGCAGAAAGGAGTAGCAAGCAGAGTATTGACACAGCAATTGAGGGCCTCACTAGGGGCCAGTAGCACATTATTCTGTACAACTGAATGCAACCCCATCATGCATAAGGTCTATAGCTGCAGTGGTGGTCATAATAAAGAAAAGCCACCCCCTAGTATTAGAACATTCAGTAACAGTTCATGTACCACATGAAGTAGAACTACTTTTGAGAAACAACATTCTACACAGGCTCTTTCCCCTCAATGTGTTCATCAATATGAGTTAACTCTTCTGAATGCAGATAATTTAATGTTGAAAAGGTGCAACATGTTGAACCCCACAATGTTACTATCTGTGCCAGATGAGGAAGAGGAACATCAACAATGTGATTTAGTAATATAAACTATCAGTAAGTAGACAGAAGATTGCAAAGACCTCTCTTTACAAGATCCAGACCCAGTGCTGTTTACTGATGGGTCCTCTTATTACTGCAATGGACAGCGAGTAGCCACCTACACTGTAGTAAATCAGTAGGGATTCATAAAGGCCATTGGGAGGAATGGGTTAAAGCAGAAGACTGATGAGGAGGATTGTAAATCGTTCAGGTGACCTTGCAGCTGGGAATAACCCTTGATAAGCCAGTGTGAACAGCAGTCAGTGATCCTCTGGCATGGACCAAGTTTAATGGTGCCTGGGTCTCCATTTGCATATATCTCTGCCTGGGTGTTGCTTCAGGGATCCCCTGGTTAGTGAGTCAATGGAAATAAATTTACTCTTTGTGTACTACCCACAAGTTTGTGGTTGTCCCAGCTGCCTGCCTATATTAACTCATACATTTGGAGTACTCAGCAGTATCTGGGAACAAGTACTCTGTGGCTAGCAAAAGTCAAGGACTGGGGAGACTGTAGTGGTGACTCTCCACATTCCAGGATGGCCCAGTACTGAGTGCTGGACTCCCCTAGCTGCTTTCCTAGCTCTGCTGGAAGTAAGGCCTGAAATACATGATGGGGAGGTGGTTACCCCCCAGATGATTGAGAGGACTGTGCATGAATTGCCATAGAAAGCAGCATCTAAGTCTTCTCACAAGCTAGAGGAGAGATTGGGATGGTTGTTAGCTACTGGCCTTGGAGTTCTCGACCATGAAGTTAGAGCATTGCAGATTAAAGTGAGAGTTGGAAAAGGACTTAGGGACTTTACAAGATGCCAAGGCAATCGCACAAGAAGTAATTAACACTCAATCAGAGTGGTGCTATGAGCAGCAATGCGCTGTAGAGTGGTTGGTGGCATGCACTGCTGACAAATGAAGGCACAAATATGGGAAAAGTAAGGTTTTGATTTTCCAAGTTTGTGCTGTCACTATGAAATCTTCGTGGGATCCTGAGGAATGTGATGGAAAGATCTGGAGTGAGTCCTCAGACTCCAAGATTGATTTTCCTTTCCAAAGACTACTACTATTATGCTGATGTGCCTGATATGTTGCTGGATATAAGCATTTGTTAATAATAGTAGACCAGTTATCAGGTTAGGTGGAACCATTTCCCACTAGGAAAGTGGACAAGGGAGGAGTTATAAAAGCTCTACTTAGAGAAATTATACCTAGATATGGACTACCAGAAATAACTGAGTCTGATATAAGGAGGTGACTGGTGTCAGCCAACATGGCTTCACTAAAGGCAAATCGTGCCTGACAAATTTGGTGACCTTATACAATGGGGTTATGGCAATGGTGGATGACAGAAAAATGACCAGTGTCATCTACTTGAATTTGTGCAAAGCATTTGACACTTTTCCACATGACATCCTTGTCTCTCAACTGGAGAGACATGGTTCTGATGGATGGACCACTGTGTGCATAAAAAAATTGGCTGGATGGTCATACTCAAAAGAGTTGCAGTCAATGGCTCGATGTCCAATTGGAGACCAGTGATGAGGGGGGGAGGAAGAAAGAGTGGGGGGAATCTCTGCAAAGAAAAAGCTTTATTCACTGGAAAAAACATCATCAATAAAGCACAGACAATCGATGATTATGAAATATTAACAGCATGCTTCACACACTTTGTGCTTCTCTGAAACACAACAAAGGAGTTTTGTTTCTCTTGGTATAAATACTTCCAAATATAGAAGTTCTAGGATTAAAAGACCCCAACCCCATGTCACACATTTCTTTGTTTATAGAAAGAAAAATTTTAAAGCCAGTGTTCATAATGTTCTGAAGTGTCAGCCTGCTGATTTTGTTTGAGTGAACAAATTCTTTAGCCTCTGATGGCAGGGAGAAGACAAAGATACTAGGAGCTACCTTTGAACCACACCCATGGATCTGAAGGCAGCATAGTGTTTTCTTGCCACAGCATGCCATGGGACCTGAGGAATTTGAAAATTCTGTGATCCAATTCTAATTCCAAGTTGCTTCTCTCCAAGCCCTTTGACAAAAGCACTTAAAATGTAACTTCTTATGGGAGTGTTAATAAAATATTTCACTCTTGAAGTTCAAAAGTATACCACATTTCAGAGTGTTATCAAACAATTTGCTTTTTCTGATTAACTAAATTATTTTCGCAAAATTGACTGTGCAGCATGTAATCACAGATGTCACAAACTAGTGAGTAGGCTGGGGGTGCACAAGAAATTGTGTGGGATACAGCTGGGACAGCTGACTCCAACTGACCAAAGGAATATTCCAACCCTATAGCATTGTGCTCAGCAATAAAACTAGGGGGGAGGTTGGTGGGGGGACTGCTGCTCAGGGACTGGATGGTCAGTTGGTGAACAATTGTTTTCATTTGCATCACCTGTCTTTCTTGGGTTTTATTTTTCTGTCTGTTATTTTTTCCTTTCCTTAATATTATTAATATTGTTAAACTATTTTTATCTCAACCCTCACGTTTTCTCACTTTTACTCTCTGATTCTCTCCCCCATCTCACAGGGGAGGAGTGAGCAAGTGGCTGTGTGGGGCTTAGTTGCCAGCTGGGATTAAACCACAGCAGTTGGTCATGGAGTTAAAAACTACAGAGGCAAGCAGTTCTGTTCATAGAGAGAAATAGTATAGATGGGAAATAATTCCACCAAGGAGCAAACAAAACTTTATTCATCCACTTTCTAATTGCTCAAATTCTGCTTTCTCACAGCTAGGCAATGGCTGAGATAAAAACTGAACCAACAAAGACAACGGTGAAGAAGCACAAATAGATTGTTAATATTTGATTAAAAGTTAAGATACTGTCTTTAAAGCAATTCTTAAGGAACATAACTTTAAATCTACACATTTCCATCCAGACAGGATTTAATCAATGTCGCGGTCGAGGCAGGATGCGACATGGGTTTCAGGATACCAGCAGCTTTTTTTTGCAACCATGTAGCTACCTTTATACAGTTCTGGGTGACACACGTACACACAGCATTGGTTTACCACTATCATAACAACTCATGATTGGACATACAGCCACATGTCCTAACACCATAGGTTGACATTCCTCACAGGAAACCCACTCTGTGTTACAGTCCTACTGTCCCTGGTTAATCCTCTGCCAGGTGTAAGAAGTTCCATCTGCAGTATTTCAGCTTACTGAGAGCCCAGAACCAGCTGGGTTCCCCAACAAATCAAAGGGTCACAGGTCCTGCTAGTAAACCTGCTCCAGCACGGGCTTCTCTCTCCACAGGTCCTGCCAGGAGCCTGCTCCAGTGTGGGCTTCTCCCAGGGTCACAGCCTCCTTTGGGCAAGTGCACTTTCTTCAGGCATATGGTCCTCCATGGGCTGCAGATGGACAACTTGCTTCACCATGGGCTGCAGGGGAATCTCAGCTCTGGCACCTGAAACACCTCCTCCCTCTCCTTCTTCACTGACCTTGCTGTCTGCAGAGATGTTTCTGTCACATATTCTCACTCCTCTCTCCTGGCTGCTGTTGCCCAGCTTTTCTCCTGCTACCTTCTTAAAAATGTTGTCCCAGAGGTGCTACCACCATCACTGATTGGCTCGGCCTTGGCCAGCAGCAGGTCTTCCTTGGAGCCAGCTGCCATTGGCTCTCTTGGACATAAGGGAAGCTTCTGGTGTCTTCTCACAGAAGTCACTCCTGCAGCCCCCCCCCATACTTGCCACGTAAACCCCCTACAACCATAAAGCAGTTCTAGAATACAGGTCTACTTCTTAAATTCAGTAGATTAAAAAGTGTCTTAGGAACACAGTGTATGTGCTCTGACCCACAAACACTGGGAACTCACCAAATAAGTCTTAAATGCTCCATTATGCACTGAAAATTTTCCTAGAAACCAGTTTTCTGACAAAGAGGATGCTCTGAAAAAAAGCAAGACCTTTTATGATTGCTTAATAGTTAATGGTCAATTTTTTTTCTTGCTTTTCTGACAAAAAGCCACACCAGAAAGATAATTTTATATTTTTTATTGTATGTCAAAGTTCATTAAAGATGTGGTATTGCTTGTATACAAGTTACTCAAAATTTGTGTCTAGGTGGAGATTCATGAGATTCATTAGCAATCTGACATTTCAAAGCATAGGTTTGTTCAACTAGGCCACAAAAACAATACTGTGTACAAGCAATAACTGAAAAAGAGCTGCAGGTTCAGGAGTTTCCAAATATTACATATTTTGACATCCCATCAGGAAATCAAAATAAAATTGAATAAAAGCAGTCACAATATAAAATAGCAGCTTCATATAGCTTTTTCAAGTTTTAATTTTATTCAGAAACTGTCACTTAGTTCAGTTTGCCTCATTCTTTGAAGCTTCATCAAAGTTTTCAACAAGATCTAGAAAAAGAAAAATGTTGAAATTCAAGTCTGACCCACTTTGTCTTTGCAAATTCCCCCCCCAAAAAAAGTCCCAGTTCATATCAAGTGGTTACATAGCAAAAAAAAAAAAAAAAAATCAGCTTATAAAATACAGACCAAACATCTAAGAGCTTCATGGTTCATTCTTCTTGTTCAAACCAGTAAATTTGAAATGGTTCATTATAAAGCACAATTCTAGGAGCATTTAACTTCACCATACCCACAACAGGGCAAAATGATATTGAAAAGGCAGTTTCTTAGCACTCCTCTTATTGAATACGAAATTATTATCTTAGCCATAGCTATTATTCCTAAACAGGACAAAAATGCTAGCTCAAACCAGTGGTCCATCTAAGTCTCATATGGTGTCTGAAAACAATGCCCACAGAAATTCTATAATAGAATCACAGAATGGCCTGGGTTGAAAGGGACCTTAAACTTCATCTCATTCCAACCCCCTGCTGTGGGCAAGGACACCTTCCACTAGACCTAGTTGCTCCAGGCCCAATCCAACCTGACCTTGAACACTTGCAGGGATGAGGTAGCCACAGCTTCTCCAGGCAACCTGTGCCAGGGCCTCACCACCCTCTAAGTAAAGAATTTCTTCCTAATCAAAGAATTACAGAATCATTAAGGTTGGAAAAGACTTCCAAGATCATTGGGTCCAACCTTTGATCAAACACCACTTTGTCAACTAGACCAGAGCACTAAGTGCCATGTCCATTCATTTCCTGAACACCTCCAGGGATGGGGACTCCACCACTTCCCTGTGCAGCTTGTTCCAATGCTTAACCACTCTTTCATTGAAGAAATTCTTCCTGATGTTCACCGTGAACCTCTCCTGGCACAGCTTGAAGCCGTTTCCTCTTGTCCTGTCACTAGTTGCCTGGGAGAAGAGGCCAATCCCCACCTCCTTTCAGGTAGTTGTGGAGAGTGAGATCTCCCCTGAGCCTCCTTTTCTCCAGGATGAGTCCCCTCATCTCCTTCAGCTGCTCCTCATAGGACTTACTCTTCCAGACCTTTCCCAGCTCTGTTGCCCTTCTCTGGACATGCTCTGGCACCTCAATGTCTTTCTTAAGTAAGGAGTCCAAAACTGGACACAGTACTCAAGGTGCAGCCTCACCAGTGCCCAGTACAGAGGGACAATAATTAATATCTAATATATATCTACCCTCTTTCAGTTCAAAGCCATTCCCCCTTATCCTGTCACTCTATGCCCTTGTAAAAACTCCTTCTCCAGCTCTCTTTCAGCCCCCCTTCAGGTACTGAAAGGAGTGACTAGTCAATACTCTTACTGTCCTTGGCCCAATCTTATACTGCACATCTCTCAGAAAAATTCACTTTTCTTCCACTGCATGCTTGTTCTTACCTGGAACTTCATCATCATCATCACCACCAGTAGCAAGTGGTGCTTTTCCATCCACAGCTGTAAGAGCAAGCAGTTCAAAAGTATCAGTCAAGCTCACCGTAAGCATCTTGATTACAAAACTGTTTTGCTTTGTGTTTTTTGAAAATATTATCAAAGAGTCTGAACTAAAGGGCAATGCTTTATCCAGTTCCCCTGTTTAATAAAAATCTACAACTAACTCTTTGTTACTAATAATGCTCAAACAGACCAGCAGGAAAATTAGAAGATTCATGCTAAACCAGTTTACTAGTCACCATCTTGGTTATAGATATAGAGAGTGCCTTGAGTGGTGTGGAATGATGGATAGGGTTAAAAATTAGAGGAGACTAAAAATTACAGGGTAAAATGCAGCTACTGCTCCCTGGATGGAACGCAGTCGACATGCCTGTAGTGGGTTGACCCTGGCTGGATGCCAGGTACCCACTAAAGCTGCTCTGTCACTGCAACTGGACAGAGGAGAGAAAAAAAAACAGTTAAGGATTCATGAGTTGAGATAAGAGCTGGGAGACGTCACTTACTGATCACTACCATGGGCAAAGTAGACTCAAAGTGGGGATACTAATTGAATTTATTACTAACAAAATCAGAACAAAAGAGTAAGAAGTAAAAAAAACACCTTCCTCCCCCCACCCCTCTTTCCTTCCAAACTCTACCTCCTCCCCCCCAACAATGCAAGGAGACAGAAGACAGTTGTTGTTTCTGCTACTGCTCAGAGAGAGGAGTCCTTCCCCTGTTCCCGTGGGATCCCTCCCATGGGAGACAGTCCTTCACGAACCTCTTTGATGTGAGTCTGTCCCACGGGAAGCAGTTCATGAAACTTCTGCCACATGGGTCACTTCTCCATGGGGTGCAGTCCTTCAGGAATGAGCTGTACCAGCATAGGTCCCCACAGGGGCCACAAGTCCTACCTCGGAAAGACCTGCTCCAGCGTGGGCTCCTCTCTCCACGGGCTGCAGGTCCCCAGCAGGACCCTGCTCCATCTTGGGCCTCCCACAGGGTCACAGGCTCCTTCAGATATCCATTTGCTCCAGTATGGCCTCCTCCATGGGCTGCAGGTGGGTCTCTGCACCCCGATGGTCCTCCATGGGCTGCAGGGGGACAGCCTGCTCCACCATGGTCTTCACCACAGGCTGCAGGGGCCTCAGCTCCGACACCAGGAGCCCCTCCTGCCCTTCCTTCTGCACTGACCTTGGTGTCTACATTGTTGTTCCCATGTTCTCACTCTGCTCTTCCCTGGCTGGAATTTTCATCTGCGCAACAACCTTCTGTTCTTAAATATGTTATCACAGAGGCCTTACTATCACTCCTAATTGGCTCGGCCTTGGCCAGCGACAGGAAGTCCGTCCTGTAACTGGCTAGCATTGGCTCCATTACACAGGGGAAGCTTCTAGCAGCTACTGACAGAAGCCACCCCTGTAACCCCCCCACCCCGCCCCACCAAAACCTAGCCACAGAAACCCACTGCAATGCCCCACAAAGGTTCCCTAAACAATAATAAGCACCTGCTATGGGGGATGCAATGGAGGTGTGGAGTCGAGATGCTGCGGCTTTCCTCCATAGACATCCCTGCAGGGAGGGGAACATGGTGATACTTTGTAGTTCAAAGACTGTACAGTATCTGTCAACCAAGGGAGATAGATGCCAAGGATTACTACCCAATTAAGTACTTATGACTAGAGCCACTCAAGCTCCACCTAAACTTGAAGAGACAGTATAAAAGTAAGTTGGGAATAGGGGGAAATTGGAGGAAGACTCCACTGAAACTGTTGGGATCAGTCGACAGGCGGAACATGTCTTCCCCCCGCCGAGGGACGCCTACTGGGTAAGAAACTCATTCTATGCGAGCTAAATGCTGTTATTAGCACTAGAGCTTGTGCTTGTTTGTACTATTAGTACATTGCTTTAAATACGTTTTTGCAGTCAGACACTATCACTGATGACCTATAAACCTTATTAACTTGTCGCAATTTATATTAATAAAGAGTGTTATTCCATAAACTGTTAGAGTGAGTCCTTCATAAGGTGCTAGCAGTTGCCAGCAGTGGTTAGCCTCCCTGAAAAGGGCAGTCAAACCACACTCTGATCCAGTGAATGTGTTCGGTGAAGGGTCCCCCTCATGGGATGCTGACAGACTAGTCGGACATAAGGGTTTTGGCTTCCCTGGGGCACTGACAGACAAATAAAACACTAGGGGTCAAGAAAATCTCTCCTCTCTAAGGGTCAGGCAGACTCCCCCCTTTCTCATGACATTAAAATTGGTGCAGTAAAGCAGGGTCGTCATGGATAATCTGCTGCAAAAGTACAAATGTGCCCCTTCCCAGGTTGGGAAGGAGCAGGTTCAAAGGTTTCAGAAAGTTAAAGTTGTGGAATGCATTGAACAATGTCGGGCTGAGCAGAAATGTAAAGAAGGAAAGGGTAAATGTGCAATTTGTGCAGTTTTAAGAGCCTGTGTGCCTTGTGCAAAACAAGAAGCTAAAAATTCACCTGATTCTGAACAGATTTTTGATGTTGAGTACACTGTTTTGAAATCAGAAAATGAGGTGTTGAAGTCATCATTAGCCTTTGAGAGGGAAACAGGAGAAAATTGGAAGCTTGAGTTGTTAAAATTGTTTCTGAAAATGAGCTGCTTAAAACTGGGGTTGACCATCTTAAAAGTCTGCTCACTGCCACAGAGCACAAAAAGAAACTGCTGCTAGAAAAACAGCCTCCCACTTCAGTCAGGCAGCTTCATAAATCAGTGTCTTATCCTGATATCAAGACTTGGAACTGGGATATTTGATGCCTTAAAACTTTTTGGATTTTTTTAGCTTTTTGTAGATTTTAAAAGTAGTTGTGTAGTAAATGTAGATTTTAATGTAGCTGTATAATCCCTTACCCTTTAGCATAGTAGTTTACAAATACCCAACACTATTACCCCATTTCATATCAAACCCCTCTAAATTCCTTTAGCATGTTTAGTCTTGTTTTCAAGGTAGAATTGTAGAAAAACACCTCTGTTTAAGAACATCACACCCTAGGCCTGGACAACAAGATACCATGACAGACAAAAGCAACCTTCAAGCCCAGAACTTTGTAGGAGCTCCAAGGACTGTATGTGCTGTGAAGAAGATGAAGATGAGGAAGAAGGGGTCCCACATGCCCCCAGACCCAGTTCCCGAATGGGCGTGTTGGGGGGCAGAACTGGGCAGAACCAGGGGGTGGATAGATACGGGATTGGATGGACCATATTATTAAATCATAGAACCACTGCTTGGGTGCACATGCATCATGTGTATTCCCATGGGCCTGAGGGCCTGATTACACGACCCACTCTTTCTATCTTATACACTAAATTGATCTGGAGTTTTTTTTCTCTGCTATCTCTTTAGGTTACACTATGATTGTGATTATGATGCAATCACAGAGAATCCTAATTCTAAATCTTATGAGAGTAAGAAACTAGGAGACTCTAAAGTTGAAATTATGTTTATACAAACTCTCGAATCCCCTAAAATTAATGATAATGAACTAAAGGAAAATTGTTCCTTACCCCCCTCTAATTCCTTTATGCATGAAACTGAATCCACTAAAAAAAAACTCGAGGTGGACAGGACAACCAGAGCCAAAAAACAACTCAATTTAATCTGATTCACGTGGATGATTTGCAAAAGCATTCCAGCAATAAGCCAAGTGTATCAGGGATTGTTGATATTTTTTGGTCTGTGTTTGGCCCAGCCACATGCAAAAGTTTTGTTCTTTGCCTGCCAAGTTCACTGATAAACTGGAACCTTGTCCTTGGAGAGACAGTTTCTTGAATAAACTGTCTTAATTGGTGTTCTGTGATTGGTTGGTTGTCTGTAGAGGACATTTGAAGAAGAAACGGAAGAGGAGAAGATGAAGTAAAGCCCCCAGACCCAAATAGATAAGACCCCTTGAGTGAAACAAGGCATGTGAGAGAGGAGTTCCAAAGTTCTCACGCATGCGCTGAAGGGGTACACTTACATAACGGGGGGAGGGACCGAAGGCCTCTGGCTGGGTGGTGCTGGCCACACCGGCCCAGGTAGATGTCACCAGCTAATTGGATAAAAAATGCAGGTGGTTAGTGCTCGGGGCTCTCAAGCTTCACATGAAGGACAACACTGCCTTTTGCAGGGATGCCCGCTATCTTTGTGAGCCTGCTGACCCTTCGAGGATGAAGCCTCTGCTATGGGGAATTCTGGTTATTCTGGGGTCGGTAAGACAACCTCGTAAAACACACCTGCATGAGTGGGGGTTTCACTGAGGGCTTAGTTTACTCCTCTCCTTTCCTGTCTCTTGGGTTCCCATTTACTCGGCCACTTTCTGTAATATTGGGTTTATTGTTGAGCTCTCAGCAGTGTCTTGGTTTTCAATCTCGGCATCCTTTCGAACTCACCCTGTTACAGCCAAGCAAAATTAAAACCCAGCAAGAAGAATCCTATCAACACATACATAACAATGACACATACATTGGGATTCCAGCTGGTTCTCGTCAGCAATTAATAAAATTTCTAATAGATACAGGACCAAAATATTTAATATTAACACAGTAAAATGCTGAGAAGATGGGATTACAAGTCAGACAGCAAAGTGTTAAAATCACTGGAGTAAAAGAAGCAAGCAGTATCTGCCAAATTGCTAAGATTAATTTATGGCCTCTAAGCAAGACGTGGATGTCAACTACTTGCTTTGCAATTAAAGATCATGATGAAAACATTTGGGGCTTTGATGTTCTGAATGGTCAAACCTAGCATCTGCCAGATTGCGATATGTGGTCTTTTGGTTCAAATGTCGACTACAACCTCAAAAGAAATCGGGAGGCTGTAGTGCAGTCACTTCACACCGCACCTGCATTCCTTGATACAAAAATTCCTGCTGCAGCACAAAGTAGCACTTTTGTAGTTGATACTAACTTGGAAAAACAATCAATATTTACTCTTGATTACCAGCACTTAAATGCCAATACAGCCCCACTAACAGCTGCAGTGCCCAGTATTGCTAACCTAACAGCTACAATACAA